AAAAAAAAAAAAAAAAAAAAAAAGTTTCAGCCGAGTTTAAGGCACTCATCAAGAGTGCTGTTGCTCAACAGGTTGGCCGAGAGGCATTTGAGTAATGGACTTCTACACCTAATTAGGAAAGCTGTCGACTTTGCTCACGCCACACCCTTGCAACCCTAGTGGAGAAGGGTTCACCCATTTACCAGGAGGTTGAACCCCCAACACTCTGCCCAAGATGGATTTGAGTGATGGACACGTTGCCTGGAGTTGGCGATAGCCGTGAGATAAGTGCTTGGTGGACGACTTCGCTCACACGGACGGACCTCCCAATCCTTTTTTTTTTCTTTTTCTTTTTTTTTTTAGCAGATCGTGGGTGCAAACCCCAGTCAAGCACATACGAATGTGTAAGAGTGGTGTATGCGTGTTGTCCTGTGCACTATTTCCATTCCAATACATTACCTTTATGTGTAATTAGCCTTTGATTTGGTTGATGAAAAAAGAAAGGTGCGAGTTTTTGTTTCCAATTAAAAAAATATATCAAATTCGTTTTTGACTAATCTACCTGGGAGTGTTTTACAATGTTAGGTCGAACAAATACAAGATAGCATGGTGGTGGTTCAAACAGGGCTGAAAACTCGATTCATTTGTTTGAAACATGAACCAGAAGATAAAAGGAAAAAAATTGGAGATAAATTCAATTTTGCAGTAGAAAATATATAGAAGTGTTTGGTGAACCAAAAACACAACTCCACAGAAAAAAGCGAGAAAAAGAGGGGGAGAGAACAGGAGGGCAGACGCACGCGCATGGAAAAGAGAGAGAGAGAGAGAGAGAGAGAGAGAGAGAGAGAGAGAGAGAGAGAGAGAGAGAGAGAGAGAGAGAGAGAGAGAGAGAGAGAGGAGGGACAGACAATGACGCGGGCGAGCAGTTCGTCACGTTGAAGAACGGCAAACAGTGCTTCAGTCAGATAGTAAACGTATTTTCATTTCCTGAAACTGTTCACAATGTCACATCAAGATATGTGTGGGAGACAGGCGAGGTGTGTGGGTGTGTTTGAGAGAGAGTGGGAGAGAGACAGGTAGGTAGGACCGGCCCGTCAGACGGACTGTAGGCAATAACAACTTCAACGACCATGATTACCAAAATTCTGAAACCATTTAAGGATGAGGAGGAGGGGGCGGTCTTTGGCACGAAGCTCATGCAATGCCGATCTCAGCATCTCTGCGGATCACGCTTCTGAAAGCCCGACCGAAAGCATCTACGCGGGAAAAATTACATATGCATCATCACCGACTTCTACCTCAACACCAATGACATATGGCTCCAATGAGCTCGAATCACTTTTTCCAATCAATTCGAATTGCGGCAGTGAATGATTGATTCTGTAGACAGTGAATTATAGAAGTAGACAGAACTTGAAGCAGCAATGTTATGCCCGGGCCGTCCCGATCAACACAACACGGGTTTCAAATAACGTAACCTGATAATCAATCAGCTTTTTCTACCTCATCGTTTAACAGCACTTTTTTTGGAGAAACTTTAAGACCTTTTTTCATCTATCCATCCAAATGGCGAATAGTAGAATACCGAAGGACTAAATCATCATCTTCAGACATGACTACCGTAGGAGGCTTTCCCCGTCATGGTGACCAATCGATCTCTCGATGAAGAAAAGCGCTGTCTAAACTCCGTTTTCGCAGAGACGGTGTATGGAGTGCACACTTTTTTCTGAAACGACACACAGGCCCAGCCAGCAGCTCTCACTGCTGCTTACAAAAAAAAAAAAAAAAAAAAAAAAAAAAAAAAAAAAAAAAGATGCCCGGGTCATATACTTCGACTCGACTGCAGTTCTGTTTCCTGCCGCCAGTTGAGGAAATAAACCTCCACGAACGAAGAAAATACAGAGGGGACCCTCAGCCCCGCCCCTCTCGCATCATACGCCCTCCGGCAAAATTACAGAGAGAACTTAACGACAACAGCGCTCAGCTCCAACAATTATTGACAACATTATTAACAACAGCGATTCCCTGACCAACAGCGAAAAAAAGAACTTTCTAAAGTCTAAATCCCACGGAGACTCTTAGTACCCCTTATTGGCTCTCGACATCCCGCGTGCAAACCCCCCACCACCTGCAGCCTAACTCTCTCGCTGCTGTAAGTTAACTCTCTCGCTGCACTAAGTACCGGCTAACGACAGCCAGCACATCCTGGCCCTCCGATCGTGATCGGAAAACAAGGGAACGGTTCGTCGCGATCGCCGTTAAAGTTGCAGTTGAATTGCGTTAGAGGAGTTTGAGTAGGGCAGAACAGAGTCGTTGCCCGTATTCCTGTTATCTGAGAGACGAAGAGATTGCTGCTGTTGCTCTCCTTGGCAGTGTTTCCAGAGAACTGGCAATTGCAAAGGGAAAACTTCTCGTACTCGTCAATACGCACTGCTCGAGCAAAGAACCTGGTCGCTTTGTTGTTCTTGAAAGTGCAACAAACGATCTCCACCTGCCCATTACTTGCGGTGATTGTGCCCCCGTCGGCGGCCGTGTTCCCCGTGAAAGTAGAGTCCGCCACGCGGTATGAAGTCTTGCCCCTCTCCCCACCCAAATCCACTGCAGCGCCACCGCACGCCGCCACATTCTTACTGAACGTGCACTTTGAGATAACTCCCCTCGTGAATGTGTCCCTTTCGGAGGTGCCAAGCGCAGCCCCAGAGTAACCAGCGTTTTCACTGAAGGTGGAGTCTGAAATAGTGAAGTTTCCAGAAATGAACAGTCCCGCCGTATAAGGGGCTTCGTTCGGAGTTAGGTCGAAGTCGACAGGCCGCCTGTTCCGTGCGAAGACAAGGTTTCTGCCAATGAAGCCGCCATCCGCCTTGACGGCCGTCAGAGCTGCGCGCCGAAATTCGATGTTCTCCATCATCACATGCACGGGGAAGACGACGGCGGTAAACTTCCCCTGGCCGTCGATCACGCATCTTCCGCCGGGAGACCGAGGGCACTTGCCGGTGATTGTGATTGGCGTGGTTCTGAGGAGGGAGGGATGGGGAAGGCCCTCGGTGAGCACGACGTTCTCTGTGAGTGTCAGCTTGGTGCGCTTCTCGTCCAGGAGAAAGCTTGCCAGGCGACCGGTGGGCGTCCTGATATCCACTCCGCGGGGMATACAGCTCCCGCCATTGCCGCACACTACACGCACCTGGTCGCTCACAGTACAAGAGGCGTCCGACAGAATGGGGTTCCCAGGTCCCCTGTAATCGCGCGCGCAGACGGTGCGAGTGCCAGAGGGAATGCGCGGGCAGAACTTGGCCGGGTGCCTGTCAAGGACTACGAGCACGTTGCTGCTTCTCCTAACGGCACTGCCGGCACCAGTCGCCACGTTGTTCGTGAACGTGTTCTTGCAGATGGACACTCCCGCCCTAATCACGCTRATGGCGCCGCCTTCCTTCGCGGAATTACCCTCAAATGTGTTCGACTGGAAATCCGACCGGCCAGGCGGCACCCCAGGAGTGCTGCCAATGTTGACGGCGCCGCCAAAGCCGAACGCGTTCGTGTTGTTCTGGAACGTGCAGCCAATCACTTCCAAAAACCCAGAAAAGTCTGACAGCGCACCGCCTCCTCCTCTAGACGCCGCCGACACGTCCGAYGTAACAGCATTATTAATGAAGGTTGAGGAAGTGATGGTCGTCTTCACGCCGCTGTCAAKGTCRATGCCGCCTCCGGTATTGCCTGCGCGATTGTTGCGGAACACACAGTTGGCGATATCAAGAGTTGAAATCGGACTTAAGAATGCTGATGAGAAAGCGGCCAGCGCACCACCAGAGYGAGTGAGGGCCACATTGCCCTCGAAATTGACGCCCCTCAGCGTGGCTGACGCCACATCAATYAAGCTCARAGCTGCCCCATTATCCCACTGCAGAGTCCCGCACGCTTCASCTTCAACCAAATTAGCTCKCGCATTGATAAGACGTAGATTGCTGATGTCGACACGGAGCCTAGGACGGGGGSGAGGGCATCCGCTTGCTCCGCTGATGAGAAAGGCACGGTACTTGGAGTCGCCATCGACCACGCATTGTCGGCCACCTGGACACTGTCCAACGATCCGGATCGAGCGCCTGACCTCCGGCAAGTCCTCCGTCAGCTTGATGTCAGCCTTCACCTCTATTGCGCTCACACTCGTATCCGCCAACAACCTCTTCAAGTCAGCGAAATTGTTGGCGGGAACAGCCTCCGCCGGACAGATGGCGATCGCGATGAAAAGAGTGGCGATGGCCAACAGTCGAAGCAACAGCAACAAGGAGACCGACCGCCTTGAAGACGACATCTCCCGCCCCCTCGCCATAGACGGAGCTGAAGCTCTTGCCCTCCTACACCACGCCAGTAGGAAGTACAGCCGCTGCTCGGAGCAAAAACACACAACGCCAGCAGGAAATACCACCTGTACAACACACCGAAGAAAACGAGAGCGGGCGTCATGCAATTCTGTCGGATTCTGAAAGAATTTAATTTAATTGATCCTTGCCTCCGTCCGGTTGAACGGGTACAGCCCCACTGCAGCCCTGTCCCGCGCGCCGCATTTGTTCCCTCCGTGGGATTCGCCGTACGGAGCAGGTGTACCATCGGGCCCTGCTCGGATCGTTTTGCCTGGGGCGCACTCGAGTTTTGAGGGCCGCCGTGTTTCACTTTCAAGGGAGGGGCGGAACGATGCTTTGTTGAAAATACTTGAGTTTCCTTCTTTATATAAAGGTGCCAGTTTGCAAGAGGTGTGGAAAGAGGCTCCAAATACTAGAAGGATGGGAAAAAAGGAGTACGTTTTCTTTTTTCTTTTTTTCTTTTCTTTTCTTTTTATAAAGGTTTGCATTTATTGCCTGGGGCCTTGACCCACTAGCCAAGTACTACCACGACTCCGTCAGGATTTAGATCACGTGTGGCCTCGAGTGGCGCAGTACGGCCGTCGACTACTCCGCTCCCGACGGCCTGGTAGTTTCGGAGCGGGGACTGTAAGGGCCTCGTTCCACTACTCGCCATCCGTCACCAATTGTGGCGAAGCATGGCGACCGGTATTTTCTTTATTTTGTGGCCGAAAACGGCGCAAGGTTCCATTTCATGGCCACCGCCATGCGCGTTCTGATGTCTATCCCGGCCTGAGTACCGGTTTGCAGTGGATGGCGGGATAATGGAACGGTGGCATTATTTCGCCAGAGGCGCGTTGTGGGACCGGTACTGCACGAAATCACTCCATGCACGGCGATAACTCGCCAACGCTACGGGACAGGTGCGACCGGCAGTCAGGGCCCCGGTGTCAGTACAATTCGCCACAGGATGCCACTAGCGGAGGCTGCCTCCTACCGCCCTCCACAAGACGCAGTGACAGGCAGGGGAAACGAGGCTCCGTGGCGACCGACCGCCAACCCAAATTTTCTTCAAGTTCTGACAACATTCGTTTTCTGGCGATAGGCGATGCAGTGGAACGAACGCGCCTCCGCCACTCGTGGCGGATGGCGAGTAGTGGAACGAGGCCCTAAAGATGCCCACCTCCCGTCCAATGAAATGCGTCGAAAAACAAATTTGGACATTATAGCTGGCTGTTTTGCATGGGCGGGAAGTCTCGATTTCATGGATTTGAAAGGTGGGGGGGGTGATTTCGAGACTCCGTTTTTTTTTTTGGGCTCTAAGAAATCCAACTTGAAATGTGAAATTCAGATATCGTGGTGGATCGGACAGGAACACTTCCGCTTCTGTAGGGTGGCCTGTCCGAGGCATCATGAGATTCACCGTAATGAATGTATCCCGTATCCATAACTTGTTCATCCTCGTGGCTATGTTCGTGGACACATTTTATTGCCACGGTACATCACTATGCAGACTGACATGAAGGAGATCGTACCAACCAATGAATTGGGGTGCAACGGATGTAGGAGGCACCAAGCACTCGTGACTGACACACATGTGCTGGCAGCACCCCGTGAATACAGGCAACAAAAAGAAAACAAAAAGAGAAAAACTAACATTGGGTGCCCTTTTTAAATGGAAGAAATCATTTAAACAATTGCAGAAAATACCGAAAATGGTGTCACACCTGGAGATTTACTTCGCTAGTCCCCACTAGCCAAGTTCGCAGCCAGAGGCTGCGCTTACCTGGATTGCAAGCTTTTTCTTCCTTTTCGGGAAATGTCGTGGGATTCAATAGAGGCTGGCGGGGGTGTTTTTGGCCTTTAGAGGGCGGGAAGGGTGCGGTCGCGGCTAGGAGACGGACCCGTCGCAGCTAGGAGACGGACCCGTCGTTGCACTCTTTGGGCAATAGGTCGTTTCATGTGGTCGGTCGAGGTTTTTGATAGTCGGCAACCTGTTTTTCCTTTTCGGGCAAACAGGCTTTTCGATCGAAGGGATAGACGAGATCGAAGGGATAGAGGCTATTAAGTTAAACCACCATTACTTGGCCCATACATCGGTCGCGGCCCATAAAAAAAAAAAAGAAAACAAATGAAAACGAGACAAGTGCAGGAAAGAAAAAAGAAGAAAAAAAAAACAAAGTCGTACCCGCCACTTGGCGGCCAAACGGAGGGAGATAACGCCCTTGAGTGTTGCCAGAGCGCCGCCTTTCACGGCGGGCAGGCGGGCAGAGGAAGGGCCAGCTCGGTTGGGTCTCTCGACACTACTACAGGACTGCTAAAAAACTGAAAATGTATCTTTCCATGTTCCATAGGAGGATTCGGTCTCATGCCTTCGCGTTTCGAGAGTTGCCACAGAGCTCTTCCGTCTGCCCGCCGTGGGAGGCGGGCCTCTGACAGCGCTGAGGGCGCTTTGAATCCTTTTTGCCCTTTTCAGTCTTTTTTTTCCTTTGTCTCTATAAGAAGAATTGGTCCGACTTGTGCATAATAAGACTGAATCGACCCCTAGAACATGGAGAGATACATTTCCATGTTTTTCGTCTTTTGGTTTACTTTTTAGACTGAATCCTCCCCTACAACATGCAAAGATACATGTGGGGAGACTGAATCATCTGATGGAACGTGGAAAGAGGTACACCGCCATTTTTTTTAATTTTTCTTTATTTTTCCCGCCATTTTTTCTGTCTTCACGGGGAGCACATCAGAAAAGCTGGCTCTTCCTTCTGCCCGCCGTGCGCGGCGGGCCTCTGACAGATCTGAGAGCACCCTTCTTGCCTTTTTAGTTTTTTTTTCTTTCTTTTTGGCAGCAGTTAGTTGCCCGTTTCTCACTTGTGGCCGGCGTGGGCTAATGTACGAGTGAAAACAGCTACCCCGTTTCGTACCAGCTGCTGGTTGCAGGTCCAGCACAAGGGGGGGTACCTGAGCCAACCACAAAATGCCCCCCAACCGGTTCCCGCCCCTTCCAGGCTCGGCAAAGCTTGGCGCGCAGGGCATATTTAGGCTCGGCATCAATAGCTGGGCCAAGTACTGGTGGTTTAAGGCTACAGTCTAGAAAAACAGGCTACTAACAGGCTAGGCTACTACAGGCTAAGGCTACAGGCTATATCGTCGGAGGCTTTTACTACTACTACAGGCTACAAGCTATTATCTCGGAGGCTTTCATAATCGAGGGTCGAGGTTTGCGCAAAATTTGTTGTCGTCGTGGTCCGATTGAGTGTTTTTGGGAGGCTTTGTGGGAGTGGTCGATACAGGCTATTCGCACAGGCTTTTCGCAGGCTTTGAGC